TGAAAAAGGCGATAAATCTCGCTGGTAGGGTGTGAGTGGGTAGCTGTCAGGCCTGTCATCACTGGAGCTTAGATTGTCACAAAGCCAACCGTTTCCCCACGGCGCATGACCCAGCAGTGGCGCAGGAGAGGCCTGGGTTGGTGGCGTGGGTGGCCAGACTGCTGCAAACATTATATTCCTCAAGTTAGAGGAAGTCAGGTTTCTACTCCACCCCAGGTCTTCTGCTGCATAGACTGGGAATGACGTCAGTTCCCAGAAGAGATCTCCCCACCCATTGCGGTGAGAATGAAATAAAATCAGATATCAAAATTCATAATATTCCTTTCACAAGATTCACTGGGGGACATTGCATTGATCATTTGACCTCATGAGTATGTTTTTTTTATTTTCGGCTATAAAATGGAGATGATGATACCTGCCCTGTAAGAGTATGTGGGGGATGTGATAATATACATGAAATTGAATTCTATATTGCAACAGGCTGTCCAGATGTTAGTTGCCACCACCGCCATCACAACGACAACCATGGAGCAGTGAGTGCATGTTGGCCTTTGACTAGGTATATTTCATATGCCTTCACATTTGTGCTGTTGCCACTACTAGTGATCAGGGCTAGGCCTTTGGCAGATTTACCAACTTCCTCCCAGATAGCTGCTTCTTTGTCTTCCTGGCCCCTGCCTGCAACCTGTGTCTTTGGACAGACCTTTATTCTGTCTTCTCTGGGGCTTTTTAGGACTCCCACCAGGGCTTAGAAAGCATCTCCTGTTTTAGGTCCTCCTCTTGTTCCTTTCAAGAATCCAATCTGCAGTTCCCCAGAAGAGTTGCTCTCTATTAGGTGGCAAGGGGTTTATAGAGTCTGATGAACATCACAACCACATAATGCTTTCAGTAACTGAACTAATAATTCATTCTTATGAAAATGAATGTCCCCAGAAACTGTTGTGAACTGCAACTGTCAAAGCAAGCAGGTGAGCCTTTGGGGCCTCCAAACATTACTATATATATATATATATATATATGTATATATATACAGGTGTCCAAGGTCAGGATAAGAGACTTGCTTGGATCTGATTATTGTGTTGAAAACCGTACATTATCAAGGGTATAACATGTAGTGAAGAACTCCCATGTAGTCTTCTAAAGCTGAACTCAAAGGCACAGAGCTGGGCAGTCGACCCCTGTAGCTCACCTTTTGAGTTAAGAGACTAGAATTTCAAAATGTCTGCTTAACTGTCTGCTTTAGAGCTAGTTACCCCAACAAACAAACCCATCCCCCAAAAAGTGAATAGATAGAATAATTTCTTTGAAAATATTATGAGAAGAAGTCTTCAGGCACTAAATAAATTAAAACTGTTACTTTGAAGTAAATAGAATTATAACAACAATGATCAACAATGAAAAACAAAACGTGAAAGCCAAGAAAGATGATTTAAAGATCTGACTCAACTCAACTGCTCCTCCTAGTGCAGTAACGGTGTTCTTACCTTCCTCTCATTTCTAAGCTGGCAAAGAAATCTAAAGCTCTAACTATGCAATACATTATTGTGTTTGAAAATTTTAGATCAACTTAGAACACAAGAGACAGTGGAAACAGGGTCTTTCCTTAAGAAGGCACTGACTTAATCTTAATGGGACACATCAGATATAATGACAAGAAAAATACAACAGAGCATCACTACAAATACACAGTGAAAGTTATGTTATTCCTCTAAATATTACCTTAAATACATTATGTTTTATGCATATGTGACACAACTATCTAACAATAGATGGTTGTAGAAATTTTGGAAGTTAAATATTGAATCAGATAAAATATTCAAGGAAAGTTCAAGTATACAAAGTTAGGAAACATTTCTAAATCTTCGAAATTAGGGATTGTGACTCTGTGGGTACAATTCAAATAGAGCAGGTAAATGTTTTCTTCTCTATTTTTGCATTCCCAGAAAGGTAGCTTCATTACAATGTCTCTGTATTTGCTGTACATTTAAAAATATAAATTTTTATAAGTTCTTAGGAGAAATCCAGCTGTACTGAACTAACAGAAGGATTATAAGCAGAACTAGACAGAGTATGTGTGGGAACAAGCAGGAAGAGGTTAACCTGTGCCTATCCAAGTCTCTGGACATGCTTCCCTTTACCATCACTAGCTATGTTTTCAGATCTGTCTTCTGTGTCTTAGTGGTTTATCCTTAATTCTCTGATACTTTCAAACCTCCCAAATTGTTCAGCTGTTAAAAAATTCCAAAACAAGCAAATGTGTTCCTGGAATCTTACCCTTAACTGTGCTGGAGAGCATATACTAAAGCTTCTTTTCCAGCCAAAATAATAAAAGATCTTTTAAGTGGCTGAAATTCTTGGTTGCTTGCACATACATGCCAATGTCAGACAACTATAAATAGAGAGATTTGGAAGAGAACTAGAGAGAGTCTTTATAAATCCAGTGAAATAAAATGAGATGTTTTGAAGACAATCAGAAAACAATACATGTTTTTATAAAATTAAGATTTGTCTCTCTTTAATCCAAAGATAGGAAGAGCTCACATGGATCATGTACTTCCAGTATGAGGGAATAAAAGGACTTTCTTTTCTTTATTAATATATATTTATTATTTTCAAGCCTGTAATTAAAATTTCTTCTTCATATTATCTTTTTGAGTTTGGCTAACTGCTGGATCTTTTGATATCTTGCCCCTGACACTGCTTTGTTTCCCCAGAATACTAAAAAATCTTTCAAAGGATAAAATTATGCCCATGGTACTGATATAAATGAAGTCAGCAGGGAATTGCATGGGTGTTACCTAGGGCAGTCTTGGCCCCCAAATAAACTGTGTCACTTGTTGTAGCCATTCAAAGAGATTTAAGGATTCATTTCTCAAGAAATTCCTACTCTCGTAGGCAGGTTAACACATCCACTAGGTTCAATATCTGGGTTAATACATATTTTTAAAAGGATTGTTACTAAATTTTGAACAGTGACTTACTTTTTTGTATTAACCCACCCATCTTACATTAACTCATCTAAATTGAATTTAACTTTGTTCTTGCAAATTAGTTCACTTTACTTTAAACCTATTACCCCTGTATAAGAGAAATGACCAATTGTTTTAGTTTAGTAATTGTGCCATAGACAAGCAAATTAGTTACAGCAATGGAAAAAACCAGCCTTTGTTTAATAGTCTTTCAATGCAGTTCTTTTGAATCTAAACCTCACTCCTGAAGCCAGAGATGTTGGAATGTTGATGATGGTTGCAAGGTCATTTAGAGGAAGAATGAATAACATAATTAATGTCTCTGATTCTTGGTTCTCTCTAAATTACATTGGGTTTGAATTGGCTAGAGGCTATACCTTGGCTCAAAGATTCAGCACTTAACACTGGAAAACCAGAGAGTAATATTTTAATAATATTTTTAGTAATGATTTTTTTACTTAGTGTTTCTGAAATAAACCCTTAGGGCAACAAAAAATAAGACTTACAGGGACTTAAAAATAGCATGGTTCTAAACAAGCCATGTTTATAATTTTAAAACCTTATCTCAAGCTCAGCTTTTAATATTTTCCTTAAAATATAGTAAAAAAAGTAATCTAAGGGTGGGACTCAAGTTTATTAAATGACTTTGAATTAATTCTAAAAGTAAATTCTATAATTTTAATTATCATTTCCCACAAATGCTGGTATGCTGTGTATGATTTGTCAGATTTTCCTGTTACTTCAAATATAGGCTTAGAGATTCCATTGCTTTATCAAGAATTGTTTCATAAAGTGAGTATCTGGCTGGACACAACTTTTTGAGAGAGGAATGAATTTGATCACTGTATATATTACCTGGTCTATAACAGCATTTACTTAAACTATGTTAGACCACTGATCAGGTAGTAGCTAAAAGGTGAGGGGCAGACACAGGATGGCCCAGCAGAGGGCGTGCCTCCCAGGAGAGGCGCTAGAGATTAAGAATCCACTCTTCAAATGACAAATGCAAAGCCCTATGTTAGACAAAAATGACTACGCCAATGTGTTCTTCTAAGTACAAATTTAATAAAAATAAACTGTCAAATCTTTCAAATAAACTACTGCAGAACTTAATGTATTCATTCCATGAGTTCCTCACAATCAGCTTTTGTCCACTGTATCTACTGACAACAATGATTGAAAACATTTTTTTCTTATTTTTTATTTTCATAACCGATGGTGTCCAAAGTTAAACATGTCATAACTGTAAAAAGTGAGACTCTAACGCTAAATTCCCAATAGACAAAATTCTGTTATGATACATTACAGTTTATTTAATCAAAGCTGTGCCAGTCACCTTTCCCCCAGCTTAATGCTTTAAATGTGATGCCAATCACAAAATGGTAGAGACTCAATTCCTCTGCTTTCCCACTTCCAATGATTTCCTAATAGGTTGGCTTGCAATAAAAGACTCCCAAGTAATTTACAAAACCAAGATCTTCAGATTTTGTGAAATTTTGAAACCAATAAATAAGACCATTTCAACAAGCTCAGATAGAGAACAGAAATGAAATAATAAATTGAGTATATACACTTCAGCAATAAATGTACTTAGCTTCCCAAAATGGCTGAGGGGAAAGATATATAAGCAAAAAATGTGAAAGATCAATTTTATCTAGCTCAAAAATCATCACCAGTATCATTTAGATTAGAAAGTTAGTCCCTATATTGTATTTTATAAATACTGTTTTGCTGACACCAAAATATTTCTTGGAATTTAGTTAAAAGAAGATTGACCACAGGAATGTTAGGATTTACAATTCTGAAGCAATGACACATTGTTCTAGGAACCCAAACTCACACAGTGTTGGCTCAGGCTGAACATGGTAGCTGATATCCAGTTGGAGTTTAATAACACTTTAATGGTCAAATGGATGAATAGACAGCAAGATAAATGAATGGAAAAAAAATGCCATGACAAGCTTATCAGGAGAGTTGTAAATATTAAAAAGAGAGAGAAAGAGAATGAGCACAATCTGTATAAAGACTTACTTATTCCATGCTTGTCTAAGGTTTTTAGAGCTGTACAGGGTAAAGCGTTCTGAAATAAAAAAGAAAAACGATAAGCAATCTTTTTATCAAATATATATACTGCAAGCATGTTGAAGAAATTAACTTTTACAAAAGACGGTGTTCTATTTAGTCATAGTTAAACTAGCCATAGTAAGGGTCTTCCCCTTGAGACTGGATAGTTATAAAGAGTACAACAGGAAGAGCATAACATTTTAAACAATGAAGCATTGTCTTCTTTTGTCTAGGATGATTTATATCATAATCTGGTTTCCTAGCAATTATTTCTTAGAATAACTAAATTTTAATTGAGTTGAAAAAAGAAATGCAAACTCCAAACCTCCAAACTATAAGTAGATTGACAGAAGAATATTGACACATCTTGTCAAGTGAGATGCTGTTTTTTCTATGAAGATTTCTCTGACCTAATACAGTAATGTTGGGTCTACTTTTTTACACTGTATGGTATTTATACATGCTCAAAGCCAAACTACCAATGCCCTATAATGTATATTTATATTTATCATTAAAGAATCTTTATCATATTTTTTAAAATTAAAAATGAACATGTTTATTTTAGCAAGTTAAACAATAAAGTGATATAGAATAGATATTAATAATCTCCTCTCCTGCTCTCCATTTTTCACTCCTGATAACATAGCCATTGTTAATGGCTTGGTATGTACCTTTCCACATATTTCTTTATGTTTATAAAATACACCCATCCATATACATAAGCACATATACTATTTTAATTTGTTAAATGGATTGTACAATAAACATTACTCTGAACTTTTTTTGGCATTTAATAACATGTGTGGATAGTCCTTCCAATCAATAAAACATATGTACAACTGTATCAAAATGGTATAACATTCCATAGAATAGAAGTACCATAATTTACTTGACATTCTCCCACTGATGAACCTTTGGGTAGTTTCCAGTTCCTTTTCTCTTACAACCAATGCTTCAATAAATATCCTTGCACATTTGTCTCTATATACAAATGATTTCATTTTTGTTGTGTAGATTCCCCAATATAGAACTGCTTGGCAAAACATATTTTAATAGATGAAAAGATTACTTTTCACTTTCCCACCAGCGATGAAAAAGAGTGTCTTTTTTTCCATATGCCTTCCAGCATTGGTTGTTAGTAGTGTTTTACATTTTTGCCAAAACTGTGCTTGATAAAACATTCTTGAGCTGCTTTTTATATGCTTCCTGGCTATTTGCATTTCCTCTTCAGTTTCAAAATTCACTTTCCATAGCTGGTACCAATTTTAAATGTAATACTGTTATCAGTTTATAGAAGCTTTTTTGTATATGATCAAGTGGTCTCATATAAATATAAAAGTGAAGTTTCACTTTTATATATGAAGTATTTTTCCATACAAAAATTTAAATTTTTATTTAGTAAAATAAATTATTCTCTTTCTTGTCTTGCTTAAAGTAAAAGACTCTGAGTTTATACGAACAATAATTTTAATTTTTCTCCTTTTTTTAATCTCTTGGTTTTCATGTCTGGAATTGATTTATTTAACATGGTATGACATATAGTTCTCATTTTGTTTTTTTAAGAAGGTCAGATAATTATGCCAGGGCTATGTAATAAATCAATTATTCTTTCTCCAATAATTTGAAATGACACCTTTATCCTATATTAAGTTCCCAAACATACCAAAGTCTGGACTCTTTTCTTTTATACTCACCTATTCATGCCAGTATCATACTATTTTAATTAGAGTGCTTCTTATCTTTCAGAACATGTATTTTCTAGCTAGTATTCTTTTTTTTTTTAATTATTGGGGTAAGTTGTGAACATTTCTTTGTCCATTAATTCCACACAGTTATTGTGTACCCCATATGTGCTAGGGATTGTTCTCATGCTGAGAATACACACATGAACAAAACAGAAAAAGTTCCTTTCCTCATGGAGCTTATATTCTAGAACAGTGAGACAGACAAGAAAAACATAAACACTACCACCACCACCACCAACAACAACAACAACATAATAAACAAGCTGATTTTAGAAAGTGGTAAGTGTCCTAGCTTTAAAACAAGGAGATTTGATGTAGAGTGACTAATGTGAGAGGACACTTTAGGTGGGGTGATGAGGGCAGGCCAGCTTAAAACAAAATAGTCAACCAACGAGATAAAGTTAGTTGAAATTCCATTAAAGTATATATTTATTCGAAAAGGATGATATAAAATCTTTGTACATAAGAATCTGGTATGTCTTTTCATTTAGACATTTAAACAATATTGATGTATAAGTACTTCAGTAACATTAATTTTTTTTTTTTTTTAATGGCTGGGGGCAGTGGCTGACACCTATAATCCCAGCATTTTGGGAGGGTGAGGTGGGAGGATTGCTTGAGGCCAGACCCTTGAGACCAGCCTGGGCAACACAGTGAGACCCAGTTGGGTGTGGTGGTGTACATCTGTAGTCCTACCTACCTACTCAGAAGGCTGAGGCAGGAGGATCGTTTGAGCCCAGGAGTTCAAGGTTACAGTGAGCTTTGATGACACCACTGCACTCTAGCCTGGGCAACAGAATGAGACCCCATCTCTAAAAAAATTTTTTTATATTGATTTCATTTCTTTTTAATTATTTAATACGTATGAGGCCTAATTTTGCTTAATATTGGTTGATGTCCTTTGTCAGTATTGCCTGCTTTTAACTGCAATTTTTTAAAGGAGAGAATGAAAATGACTTATATTATTTTTGTTATGGTATATTTCACATATAAGACTACTACTGGATAAGAAGAACAAAGGAAAGTAAAACACACCCAGCTTCTTATTTCTAAACCAGACCTTACTTAAAAGAAATGACTAAAAACACTGTACAATGATTCAATCATTCACTCCACTACTACTTACTGAACAACTACTGAAGACATAGGAGTGAATCAAACCAAAAAAAATCTTCCAGTGAGGAGTGTGCGGAGCTGGAGTTTGTTTGAGGCCAGACGGCTAGGGTAGACCAAGAACCTAGGAGAGAGCCTTTGTAGCCTTTGAGATATGATCTAGTATGATTTGGCCTTAAAAAAAAAAAAAAAAAAAAAAAAAGATCACTCTAGCTTTTGTTCAGAGAATACACTACAGGAGGCAAGGCTGGAAGCAGGGAGACCCAGGGAAGGTTATTACAACTGCCCCGGAGACAGCCTATAGGACTTGGGCTACGGGAATAGAGTGAATGTAGTGAAAAAAGGGTCAGAGTCTAAAAAAGTGTTCAAGGTAGAGCCAGTGAGATCTACTGATGAATTAGATGAGGAATGACAGAAGGGAGGAGTCAAGGATGGCTAATAGAGCATGCACAGATGTCCACGTTCCAGGTTTAAAAGATACTGAACTACATAAAACTGTGATGACTTAGAAGGTATTTTAAGTGGAGGTGGAGTTCTCCTGGAGTTTCAGAGTTATTTGAGGAGGGGTAATTGACAAAATATTTAATAACCTGCAAAAAACAGGCATTGACCAATCAGAACAGAAACTAGCCATTGTGCCATAATGGCGTGCACTAGCTGAAGATCAGCTCCAATTACAAATACTCACTGTTCTAAAGCTATAGACAAAATCACCCACCAACAATTATGTATTTATTTGTTTCAAAAGAATATCTTAATTTCTGAATTTATTTTCTACTAGACTGTATCATATAAGATGCAACATAATTCATCTAGTTAGTGTAAGACAGAAATTTAAAGGCATATATTTTAGGTGTGAGGATTAACTGACAAGGAAAAGAGAAAAGGGAAGAAAAGTTCTTTGTATATAATTTAAAAAGAAATATTATCTAAAGTCTGGCATTAAGAAAGCAAGACATATTTCAAAAAATAATTAAATCAAATGTCCTTATAAAGCAGATTTGACTTCCTCAACTTTATATTCCTCACAAAGCAATTTTAATAATTTGCTATAATTTCAGGATGAACAGAATTCCATTACAGATAAAATTAATACAATTTTGCATTTACAAATAAATTATTATTCTTAGCAATTAATGATTGTGCATAAATATTAGTTCTAAGAAATTAAGTCCTTTTAGAGCTTGATAGGATATGCTAATAGCTAATAGAATTTTTTCCAGAAATATAGTATGTCAATTTTAGCTATGCAGAAAAGAGACAAAATAGATAGAGAAACATGCTACATGAGAGTAAAAAAAATAAATAAATAAGGAAGAATGAAGCCTCATTCTCAGGTTTACCTTCCATCACCATTCATATAAAATCTTAATTCTTTTAGCAAATATTTATTACCTGGGCACTTGCCTCTGTGCCAGATGTGGCACTAGGTTAGGGTCACACAAAAATGAATAAGTCCTGGTTATAGTTCAGTGGCACGGAAATGTAAATTACAGATACAGGGTGAAAAATGCTGCAATGTAGATATGAACACAGTCCTGGAGACAAGAGCCAGAGCCAAGACTACATCTGTCTCTTTTCCAAATAAAGACGGCTTAAACAAACATCTGAAGCTAGCTCCAGGAACACAAAGGGCCTGATCACTTGTATCCAACATCTTTGAGACCTTAATTGCTCAAGTATATGATTTCAAATGGAACCATTTCTAACATTTTCTGCAATACATTTACAATTAGAGTAAAAGATTATATCTTTAAAACCGCTCCCACTGTAAATAAAAGTAATGTTCCATTAGAATGAAAGCAACATAATTACCTATGTAAGTTTTGAAGGCAAAAATATGCTGAAATTAGTGCTCCAAATCAGTAACAAATGCATTTAGTAAAACAGTCAACTGCCTATGAATAATTTTATCAGATTATTCGAGTATTTGCATATGAATGCTTTACACTATTCTTCAGTTAAGTTTACTCTCACTTACTACTTTAATGTCAACTTTCTCTTTCCAATTATGTTTAAACTAGAAGTTTAGAATGTCATTATTTAAAGCATTGGCTAACTCATAGCATAACTGAGAAGTGCAATTAATTTGAACCTGCAGGCTGATTTTCACCTTCTCCTCTTATTGCAGGGACACTGCAGAGGATGATCCCAACAC